GACTGGAAAACAGTTAAAAATTTCACGCACCAGCGCATGAAAGCTGAATTCGAAACCTTGAAGGATGAAGATTCCCGAGTTAATGGTTTACCCACCAAAATTTTCACGAGGTCGTAGGTGGTAACCGAGAGCGTGAGAACGCTGAATTTGAATGGGCGAGGTTGAACAGGGGCAGGGGGTCATTCCCCTAAAATTTCAGCCTCGTAGACTCCGTGGTTCCCGAGCTATTAACTTGCTCGTGAAGAACTTTCACGGGGCCGTACGCGTTACCTGCAGGTACGGGGAAGCTGAATTTAAATTTGCGGGGTCACACGAGGGTGGGAAACGTTCCCCTAAATTTTCAGCTTCCTAGCTTTTGTGGTTTTCGAGTTGAAAGTTGCGAACAAGTTGCTGCGGACACACACACACACACGCAACCCCGTGACAATATGCGTTTTGTACTGCTGTTACACAGCAAAAAACGCATAAAAAAGTTGTATTCGTTAATGAACGAAACAATAAAGATGAAGAATTTTCTAGAAAAAACCGAGGAGGAGAGACAAAAGGAGCTCGAACTGTACAGGCGATTGAAAGGAAGAAAGAATGAGTTGGAAGAAAAGCTTCTTGCGAAGCTGGACGAACTGCGAGAAGTTTGCGTCAAGGAAGCGGTGAGTGTTCGCTGCTCCCCGAAAAATGCTGTGTTAGCAGGACTGCTTATTACATTAGATCTCTTTCTCCTTTAAACTTCGTTTGTTTCTCTTCATTTACTAAAAAATGCTGAGTAGTGTTGTATCCTCATCGCAAGTTCCGATAATAAGACTAAAAAATTCATTTCAAATAGTCTTTGGATATTGAGCCAGTCGTCGTTTAGTCGTACTGGTCAGTTTAGTAAGCACTGAAAGCAGACATCATTCATCCTATCTTGTTTTTACTTTTAGGAAATTACCGGTGAGCTGCCCAAAGAAATTTATAAAACGCTTATGCCTGGTGAGGAGGAACCGAAAATACAGCGACGTGTTGGAACAGCCTTCACACTGAACGAAGAAGTTTTCAAAAGGCCCGTGGACTGTGTTAGTTTTTTTTTAAACCTCTATTTAATACAAGTCAGTTGCGTTCCACATTAAGGCGGCCTGTTTCGAACTTCCTTTCAGCACTAATTTTACGAAAGAATCGTCGGTTTAGACAAAGAAAAAAAAAATGTGTGAAAGACTAAGGGGCTGCAAATTATAGTCGAAGATACAGATGTTTAGTAAAACAACGCATATCTTTTTCAGGAAAGTGTCCGTATTAGTCATGAAATGTTAAATTGTAGTAAAAAACAAGTTTCATCCGAAAACTCTTCACTCATTATTAAAATGGTTCCAGTAAAGGGAAAGTAGGCGAATTGAACGTAGAAACAGGAAGGAGATGTCATTTTTGGGCAGGAAACTCCAGAGTTTGTTAGCAGTCCTTTCCCAGTGCCGAGTGACGGAAAAGTCCATTTCAGGTTTTTATTGTCTCCCAAAAAAAACTGGCACTATATAAAACATTAAACTGTTTGCGTCTCTGTAACATATTATAAATCTACCTTAACTGATGCTCTTATTTATGTTTTACCTTTACATTTTTTGTTTTCTTTGTGGTTTTAAAAAGTTTAATGCGGTTTTTCGAATGCCGGGAGTGCAGTTCTGTTTTAGCCATTTGTTGGTCATTGCAGTAGAAGTTTACTGACCAGGTTGTTTATTAAATCAGTTGCTTCTGAATGGATGCTATTTGTTGTTTGTGTAGGATGACAGGATTTCGATGCTGGAAACGGATGTCGAGTTACACAGGAAAATTGTCGCTGCGGCAGAGCGTTTGGCAAAAGATAAAACAACCAACAAGTCAGTCAGAAAGAAACGCCAAAAGGATTTGATTGCAGCAACGCAGAAACTGCGAGGACTTGAATTTGGTCTCAGCCAGCTTCGCCTTTCAGCTAGCAAACCGGATGTCAGTACATCAACCCAAGCTGCTTCTTGCAGCAAAGGTTCGCTACTTATGCATTGCTTTAGTCTGCATCTTGGGGTAGCTATCGTCAGAAGTACGTCATTGGTTTTCTGATTAGTAAATTCCGTCAGCTTACTTCCAAGCAATCCTCGGAGGAGGGATCCACGTGCAGTTTTGCCAACGAGCGATTGCTAGTTGTAACTTGTCTGTGCTTCTCACGGAGGGCAAAATGTGAGAAGGGTTTCGAATTTGGCTAATGGAGGTAATGAGAATTCTGCGCTATACAAGTCGTCCTGTATTTCAATTCTTGCATTGCAGCATAAAGCGAATGTCACAGGTTTTCATGCGACAGGAAGTGAAATTGATATCGTTGTCTTGCTATGTGTATACTAAGCAGCCATGAAGGGGGAGAAGGGGGCGGGGGCGGTTGTTCAAAGCAGATGGCTTGATCACTGTTCATACATGGCCATCCTCCACAACTTCTTTTGGTAATGTAAAAAAGGTTGCTTGCAGTAGCCGCCCTAACGCACGGGGTTTTGTATATTTTTGTCCTGATAAGTAACTGCAGTAATTTGTTCAGAGGTTTGGCGAAACTGCTCGAACTACGCAGCAGAACCAACGTCACTGGGTGGTAGAAATGGGTCTGGTGCTCTGATTACAAAATCATGTCCTGCTACTCCAAGAGGATCGTTCCCGGATTTACTTACATCCACAGATAATGAACGAAGCGAAGCCGATGACGAAGAAGACGACGCAAGAAGAGCATCTGCGTATGTTGATTTTCACGTCTCAATTCACTTATTAATAAAGCCTTCATGCTTTCTTATTAAGAAGGGGTTAATTTAAAAACACGATTTGGCTAAGACTTAGACGAAAGGGAGATTAAGCTAGCTAACTGTGTGGTGGTGTTTCTAAAAAATTCCCACTGTAATGCTGATCTTGCATCCAACGTTCAGCAAGCAGATAGTGGACTACTCTAATACAAAAAGTTCCAGCACTTGAATTAGCCAGACTCGTTGTGTTAAAAATTGAATGCTTTCCCCAACACCGATAGACTTAAATTTCCGTATGGTTCATATAAATATTGAATTTATAATATTTACTAGAACTGCTACTCCATCTCTCCATGGATCAGCCGCGCAAAGACACTTGGCTGCGC